TTGTAGGATGACACATGTACAACAAGTTCACAATTTAAAACAACATAAAATGGAAAATAAGAGGAAAATAAGGAAATTTAGTAATGTAAGATACTTATCTTTAGTATCCTGGAATTTAAGTTGATACACAACACACCTTTTCTATAAAATTAACAAAATTTCAAGGTATAATTAGAACTTAGACTTTAAACAAATTTCACACAAAAATAAATAAAAAATAAAAAACCACTTAGCCGCCTAGCCTGCCTAGCTTCCTAGGACCGCCTAGAGCCACCCTGATTTTTCCAGCCATTTTGCACAAAATCGCCTCGGTTCCAAGGTGGCCGCCTAGGGTGTTTTTTAGAACACTGATTTAATCCATCCTCATCAAATATTCTCCACAAGTAATTCCCAAATCTTTCCTTTCAAATTATATTAATTAACTAATTAATTGATTTATTATTCAATTAATTTATTAATTTGCTACAAATCATGAATCTCACCCAAAAAACCATCCAAGTGCCCGGTCTATCTCCTCCCAAATGGGCTACCACACCCTTATATAAACACCCTCATTTTCTCTAAAACCTAAGTTCTACACTCTTGCTAAATTCTCTAAATTCTCCAAACACTTTTCCCTTAATTAAAATTCTAACTTTGGCATTGGAGGTTCTTCGGCCAAAACCCCACCTTTCATTGTGGGCACGTGAGGCTCTTGACATTGACCTAAGATGTTATTTGTTTTGTAGGTGCAATTTTGTCCAAGAAGAAGAAGAATGAAATATTAAAATCTATGTCTCTTATAACCGACAGTAATTCCGACACCATGTTAAGTAGTGTCGAAAATATCCTATCCGCCACTATGTTGTATAAAACTGACACCAACCATCGACACAACAAGGCCCTTTTGTAGTAGTGTCATTTGAGAATAAGTTAGTCACGATGTAGCCTCTTAGGATTTTGTAGCATTTCTGGCATTCTTCTCTATTAATAATATTCTTATTATTTTGTAGTCTTGTTCGTTCCGCACTCTGATATTCAACTATCCACACATCGGCAATTGAAACTTAGAGATTGGCTCCAATGGAGTTCAAACTTGTTTTCAATCTTTTTTAGGAAGTGACTCTTAAGAACTCAGGGAATAGTCATGCGAGACTGATGAGTATATAATTTATGTGGTTAAACTTATATTGGCATAGGAATTATGGAAAGAAGGTAGAGGCTGAAATGGAAGTGATAGATGAATTAGTAAGGGAAATGTGTCAGCTTGATGAAGCTCTGAGGTGTATTAATGTAGGGTTTTGTGTGTTGAAGAAGTCCCGATGATGGACCAACAATGTCCTTGGTAATTTGTCACATCTTGGGCTCGACCCCACCGTCGCACGATATTGTCCGCTTTAGGCCCCAACCATGGCCTCACGGTTTTGTTTCTAGGAACTCACACGAGACCTTTTGGGAGCTCACTGGCTTCGGGTTTCGTAAGAACTCCGAAGTTGAGCGAGTTCACGCGAGAGCAATTCTAGGATGGGTGACCCACATTGTTAGATCCCATATCGCCCAGGGGAGTGGATCCGCTATGCCTTATATGTACATGCCCACCTCCAATTAGCAAAAGGCCTTTTGGAAGCTCACTGGCTTTGGGTTCTGTCGGAACTTCGAAGTTAAGCAAGTTCGTGCAAGAGCAATCCCAGGATAGGTGACCCACATTAGATCCCACATTGCCCAGGGGAGTGGATCCTCTATGCTTTATATGTACATGCCCACGTCCATTTAGTACGAGGCTTTTTGGAAGCTCACTGGCATTGGGTTCCGTAGGAACTTCAAAGTTAAGCGAGTTCGCGCGAGAGCAATCCCAGGATGGGTGACCCAGTGGGAAGTTCTTGTGTGAGTTCCCACAAACAAAATCGTGAAGGTATGGTCGGGGTCCAAAGTGGACAATACCGTGCTACGGCGGAATGGAGCTAGGTCCAGGATGTGACATAATTCATATGCTTGCCAATGAAGCTACATCTCTGCCACCGTCCAAAGCGCCTGCTTTTTCAACGCATAAAAATTCCAATAGTGAAGTTGTTGGTTCTTCTTCTCAAGCATTTGTCAGTTTTTCTAATAATGCAATCACCATTAGTTTGGCAGAAGTTCGATAAAGCTTCGACAATGTTACCTTTCCTAAACACATTTTAACATTGGGATTTGTAACGAAAATTAATAACACTGTGATCAGTGTAAAATTAAATGCACAAAAAATTGGCGATGTCTGTTATATAACTTAAAAGAACTTCCTTCTTTGAATTTCACAATTCTTATCTACAGATGTCCTAGCTTCAAGGCTTCAATTGTGCTTCATTTACAACTATTATTATTTTGGCAAATGAGCGTGCTTCACAACTTATGTTGGTCTGATTCAGGTGCATTCAACGGTAAAAACACGTATTCCTCATGCCTCAGTTATTTGTCTAGGCTTCTTTTTGGCGTCGTATCTTTTACACATTGTAGAGCAATATGAATATGAACACATTGGAGAGCAATATGAATATGAACACATTGGAGAGCAATATGAATATGAACACATTGTAGATCAGTTCATATGTTAGAAGAAATTGTGAGTGCGAGATCGGATGCAATGAGGTTACCAGTCACCAAGTACGTCATTGTTAATTAATTGATCTCATAATCTCTCATAAAGGGATGCCAGAAAAATCTAATAAAGCAAAATGTCTGATTAAAAAAAAAAGGAACAAGAAAATTTGGTTGGTGGAGATAATGGGATTCTCATTTTACACATTACCAACTGTTTATCCCACTCAACCGTTATAATTTTAGTAGCCCACTAAGAAAGCTTAAGGTCGATCCCCTTTAAAAGATGGGATTTTTCAAATAGATTCGTGTTCATATAGAGGGATAGTTAATTAAATCTTTTAGCGGAAAACTTTGGATCGAATTCTAATCTCTTTGTCTTCTACACATACGTACACCACGAGATTACACCACAAAAAGGAGTATTCTATGGACGCTTTATGGAACTTGCAGGTCGTCAAGTTAGCTATATATGTGAGTTCGCCTCCTCGAGTCCTTGGTCGATAGTGATAACCCTAGAGGATGACCTAGTGTGCTCTTCTCCCTTCTCTGAAGCTCTCGTAGACGTTATGCAGCTAATTCTCACATAACTAGATGGTGAAATTTTGAGCCATCTTCTCTAAGCTCTTTATGTCAATTCAATTAGGCTCAGTTGCTTACCTAAAAACTTTAGTAGTGAAAGTTGAATAAATAGATTTGTAAACCGAAGGAAGAGTGAATTGGTATATATGTGCAAACAATCCCGTTATTTAGACTGCTAGAAGCTTTGTATGAGCAGTGAATAACGAGATGGGGAGGCTTCCCATGGTCTGAACTGGAAAAAGAAATGACAACTGTGACAGGCCAAAAATGTGAAGGTATGTGGAAAGTCATACCCACGTATACGACACGTATACACCAAAGACCAATGGGCTATTCAGCTTTTTTCTTTTTTTTTTTTGCATTTTTGCTTTTCATTTCAATTATTGTTTTCTTGCAAAAACGGCAAACTGTGCGCAAATTATACACGAGAACTGTTGAATATAATATATTGAGGCATGGTGCAGATACAATTTTATATTTTTAAAAAATAATAGTTCGTATAAGTGCTAGAATCAACCTTGTCCTTCTTGTTATCAATACAGTACCAAACACTGTATAAATAATACGGTAATTAGTCTGATGTTATATCAAACGTCCGATTAATTTAGTCAGTATTATCCGATGATTATTTATTCTATTCAACTGAAATAATCAGTACAGTCCAAACTGCCAAACGAGGTCTAATAGATGACAAAAGGAAATGATGTAATCACATTCTCATTTTTACAAGGACTTCCATAGCATGTTATAACTATGTTAATGTGACATTACATGTCAATAATGTAAAAAAATGTGGAGAATTTTATTCCTTTGACGTTGTATTATTACTATAGAACATGACATATTCACAATAACAATATAGAATGTCATGTAAGTCGCTCTCTATTTCCACACATTACCTTTCAATATTTTATACTTATACTGATAAAAAGTTGCACAACAAAGTTTGTTGAGCAACTTCTAAACTAAGCAAAGTAGGATGAGATTCTTAATGCCAACGTGCGACCATTCCTTATATGTGAAACAAATCAAAGCCTACTTCAATGGAATACATTTCATATCTATAAGTAACACTTTTTGGCACGTAAATATTCTTATTTCTAAAGAGTAATGCAGAAGAGTTCCTATATTTTCCGGGAAAGAGAACGACTTTTCATCTTCATTTCATGTTTTCCTCACACATGAAAACATGAAAACTAGTTATGTAAACCAGAAAACTAGTTATGTTTTCCAACCAGAAAAGAGGCTTTTTTGAGCCTTTGACCAACTTTTCATCTTCATTTCATGTGAACATGTTCAAAACTAGTTATATAAACCAACTTCCATCCAATGTGGTGAAGGTCAAAAGGCCGGCTCATACTCTGAAGTCTTAAGGCGTCTTAAAGTGACAATAATATCCTTCATCACAAACGATGAAAGTCAAATTGGATGTAACTACCGAAGGAAACTACCCATGTCCATCGTTTGAATGCTCGTACAAATGTGATCGACAAATTTTAACCGCGCACATTTAATTATTATTTATGTAAAAATTCTATCTAATTATTTATTATTTAGTCAACTCAAACAAGTTAATGATTTATATGTTAATATTTTTATAATGAATCGTCCAATTTTCTAATACATATGAATAAGAAAAAAAATTCGTATTCTGATTGATTAATTTTTGTCCAATTCCAAATACGATAACAATGGCCCTAAATTTTCTTCAAAAGAATACAAAAAAAATGAAACAATGCCCCTTATAGGTGGGAGAGGAGACGCCAACTTTATAAAATGACATAATTAGCCTTGACAAGTTTCTGAGAAATAGAGGAGGCAACCGCTGGCCCTTGCAGCTGTATAGAATCAAAGCCGACCAGCAATTAATCCACTGTTCCATTTCCGTCATCCGAAGGGAGACCACAACCCTCCTCTTTCCAAGAACCCCGTTGCAGTTTCCGCCCCCCTTCCCTTTTCTTTTCTTCCATAATATAAATCCTCCACACCCCTTCCATATTTTCCTCACACAACCAGAAGCCAACATCTAATTTCTCTCCAAAACCCAATACATATATCAGAGAAAGAGATTATCATTTTTAATCCCACAAGATCATCAATCATCACCTATGGCAGGAGTTGGAAAGAGGGCTGCTGACGATTTCGAAGACCTGCTGCCGCAGATGGCGGATAAGCTCGGCGGCGAGGGGCTGATAAGAGAGCTGTGCAACGGGTTTCAGCTGCTGATGGACAAGGACAAAGGGGTCATTACGCTGGACAGCTTGAGGAGGAATTCTGCCTTGCTGGGTCTGCAGAACTTGAGAGAAGACGAGCTTGTGAGCATGGTGAGGGAAGGTGACATGGATGGTGATGGCGCTCTGAACCAGATGGAGTTTTGCGTTTTGATGTTCAGACTGAGTCCTGAGCTGATGGAAGAGTCTTGGATTTGGCTTGAGCAAGCCATGCAAGAGGAGATTAGCGATAAAAATAAGAGACCCTAATTTCTTGATCCTTTGTTTTGATTTGTAAGTAGAATATTATTGGTTAGTGAATTTGATCAAGGAAGAGTTTTACTTTTCCTTGGGTTATATGCATGGTTTTTTTTTTTTTTGGTCAATATATGCATGGTTATTTCTTCGTGGTTTTACTTTCAACGTTATTCGTCCTGAAATAGTCAAATTTGAAAAATACAGAGAAATAACAGGCACCTTCTTTTTGTTGTAATTCTTGGACGTTGTGTGTGTGTGTGTGTGTGTGTGTGTACATACGTACATCGATTTCTTTTACGAAGAATTTATGCGGATCTTGAAATCATACGTATTAAAGTTAAGTCCAAGTATAATTTCTTTATAAAGATATGTAACTAATACATGCGTAATTATATTTCGGAAAATTGGTTGGAATAGATGTGGAGCTAAAAATAATCAAGAAGAATATAAAGGCGACATGTAGATTCTAGGGTGAAAATGACAAAATTACCCTTGATGAACACCGGAACTTCTACACACGAGCAGTGGACAACCATCCATCAATCAAATCAAAAGTGCCCAAAATAGGTTTATTTAAACCCTATTTAATCCATCCTCATCAAATATTCTCCACAGGTAATTCCCAAATCTTTCCTTTCAAATTATATTAATTAGCTACAAATCATGAATCTCACCCAAAAAACCATCCAAGTGGCCGGTCCATCTCCTCCCAAATGGGCTGGCCACACCCTTATATAAACTCTCTCATTTTCTCTAAAACCTAAGTTCTACACTCTTGCTAAATTCTCCAAATTCTCCATACACTTTTCCCTCAAAATTCTAACTTTGGCATCGGAGGTTCTTCGGCCAAAGCCCCACCATTCATTGTGGGCACGTGAGGCTCTTGGCCTTGACCTAAGGTGTTATTTGTTTTGTAGGTACAATTTTGTCCAAGAAGAAGAAGACGAAAATTTACTTCCACAAATTGATGATTCATTGAAAGTTGAGTCACACACTCATAGAAGACTCTCGCATTCAAGGTTTTCTTGTTCATTTGTAGATTTTTATTTCTCAAAATTCTTTGATAAAAACGTAAAAGAAAAGTACAATCGCAAGAGATTCGGAAACCTTGATGAACAGAAATTCCAACGTTTAAGAATTAGGATCGTGGCGATCTATAAGGCTCAACGTAACGATGAATGGAGTGGCACCACCCTCACGGGGCACCACCATAGCAACCACAATGATGGCCACCACAACAAGATCCACAGCACCATGACCATGGCTCGAGTCGTGCTATCCAAGCCCACGAGAGCCTAAGCCCAAGACAAGCCAGCATAAGCCTTTCAAGTCCAATGCGAGCCCAACACCTTGCCGAGCTGAGCCCTAGCCTTACACCACATGCACCACACGCCGAGTAGCCCACTCTCATGGCCCAGCCTGCTCCCGTGGTCTTCCAATCAACTCAAATCGGCCCAAGAATAGTTCAACTGTCTTGACTTCAAATTTCTGGGCCTACGATTAAACCGAAGGCATTTTTACCACACTTCTCCACAAATTTGACATTCCCTAATTCGAATCTCGCGCTCGGAGTCTACCACACTTCCACTACTCAAGAAGATGCATTTTTTCCAAGCTCTTTTAATTCGAATGGCGAACAACATTTGTCTCGATAAGTCATAGAGTTGATAAGCGCACTCGCACATCAAACGACCTTGGTGAATCAGCTTTTGCAACGTACCTGGATACAACATGCCCCAGACAAAATGTTTCAAAATAGGATAAGGGCAGACGAAGAACATTTCCAGCATCGTCCCAACAAGTAGCCACTCGACCAGCCACGAACCAAGTGTTCCGACGAGGTACACTCCCGATTATCCTTTGAGATAGCGTATATTTTCATCTTAGCGCGTAGAGGAGTGTGCACTCTCGGTTAGGCCCACGGATAAGCATACACTCACGGTTAGGGTCACACTCCGATAATCAACATAAACAGCCTTTCAAGCAAAGTGTTCATTCACAGCTAAGCCCGTAATGAGCATCCTCTACATCACATAGGAGTAGGTAGCACGATGGATAGAGAGAAACAGTCACTCAATCCGGTTTAAGCTCAACCAGCAGCCTGTAAAGAATTCCCTCACCTGCTAGGAACGAACCATATGCACCGCAGCTGCGACATAGACGAGCCCAGCATATAGAAGATCAACCTAGACCAATAGGTCATGATTGGGGGTAGCCGAGAGTTTTAGTACCCCCAACAAAAGGAAATTCAGGAATACGTAGAGAGACTTTTAACTGAGCAATTACGCGATTTCTAACGCAATAAGGTCACCGATGAGGCATTACGACAGAACATGACCAACATAAGCAAGTCACCCTTCATAGATGAGATTAAGCAGGCAGAGCCTCCACGCGAGTTTAGCATGCCATATTTCACATCATTCAAAGAAGATGGAGACCCGAAAAGACATTTGGAGCACTACCAAAGCGTAATGATCCTCTATCGAAACTACAATGATCTCATGTGCATGGTATTTGCTACCATTCTAAAAGGCAAGGCACAAGATTGGTTCTACACCTTGCAGCCACAATCCATCATGAATTTCAATGAACTTTCTTTGGTTTTCACTAAAGAATATTCATCATATTGTTCGATCAAGAAGAAGTTCGACCACTTGTTCAACGTCAAGAAGAATCCAAAGGAGTTGATTCGCAACTATATGAAGAGGTTCAAAATAGAGAAAGCAAGGATTGTCAGATGCAACGACTAGATAGTTAGAGTAGCCTTCCAAAAATGATTTCCAGCATACCACCCGCTGTTCGAAAAATTGATCATGAAAAAAGATCTAACTCTGGTAGACTCTTTCATTCTGATAATAAAGCATGCACTTTGGGACGAGGCTCGCCAATCCAGATGCGAGAACTTGAAAAAGAACTTGACATCACCTCTCTACTATTTAAACTGGAAGTAGTGGAAGACCTATTTGCATGTATGATGGTATCTGAAGTAGCAATAAGCTCTACCATCATATGAGAAGAGCTTCGGGCCCGACTAACTATATTCCATAGTTCAAAAGCTCTTCTCGATGATGAAACCAGCTACCAGAAATTCAAAAGCTAACTTTGACGATAATTGTTACAACTCGGAAGCTCAAGTTAGACTTTCAAATGCACGTAGTCATCCTCATGATGCACTATTCTGCCCAATCCAGACATGCAACGATAAAGGCGTAGACACTGATGGATACAAAGTTCTCTGACGAATGCAATAACTAAGCCCAAAATGCGCACCAAGGGTAAACGAACACTAGAATGACACACTCAGAAGCAAGTTTTGTCCTCATCGCCCCAAAAGATTCTACATAGAAGCAATATATACCGGCAGTTGAAAATCACCTCATGCTACTCATCACACGGCCCCAGCCAACCCTTGCTATATAATTTAGCTCTAGAGGGCACAAAGCGATCCTCAGTGGCCGAAAGAAGCCTTGTTCGGTCGTTCAGAGATGTAGGGGTAGCCCAATACTAGCAATTAAGCATCTTCTGTTGCATGTAACATGGCCCCAACTTTATGGCTCCAACTACAAAGGCTCAGAAGCAAGCATGGTCATTGTCACCCCAGACGGTTCGATGCTCGAGCAGGTGATTACTCTAAGCTTCAAGGCTAATCACCAGCTAATCATTCTGATTTCTAGGTAATCACCAGCTAGATTAATAAAGAAAGTACACAAGCAACTTGAGGCATTTCACACTTACACCTTTATTCAAGTTTCGTGCACAGACAATGCCCACACAAACGCAGAGCCGACAATCGAAATGTCATAGAAAGTTCCAAATAAAGGCAGCACGCTACTACATATGGAACGACATTCTCGCCCGAAGATCCTACATTGGACCACATCTCTGCTGCCTAGCATATTCCAACGACTTAAATGTTCTAAGCTCAATCCATGAAGGCGTTTGTGGAAATCACTCCAAAGGTCGATCTTTAACACAGAAAGCTCTTAACGCAAGTTACTACTGACCTACCATGCATCAAGATGTTAAGGAATTGGTGCAAAAGTGTAACCGCTGCCAATGCTACAACCTGGTAGCAGCATTACCTGCCAGCAAGCTACGCCCACAGACGAGTCCTTGGCCATTCATGTAGTGGGTAATTAACTTGGTAAGGCCAATACAGCTCGCTGCTGAGGGAAGAAGCATGATAATTGTGGCAACTAATTACTTCACCAAATGAGTAGAAGCAAAGCCCGTGACAACCATGACTCAGGCAGACATAGAGCGCTTCATATGGAGGAACATTATTTGTTGATTTGGCATCCTGAATCCATCGTCACTGATAGCAGCCTGTAATTTGTGGGCAAAGATTTGACAAAGTTCTTCGAAAAGTATGGCATCAAGCAACATATGTCCACACCTAGATATCCTCAAGGCAATGGGCAGACTGAATCATCCAACAAGACAATTCTCGATCGCCTCAAGAAGTCCTTCTCCGACAAGAGGGGAAAGTGGCCATACGAACTTCCCGGATGTCTATGGGCATATCGCACGACCAAATGACGGGCCACTGATGAGACTCATTTCTCTTTGGCATTTGGTTTAGAAGCAATCATTCCTCCCAAATGTCATCGTGCTAAGTATCAGCACTCTACTACCAAGCATTGAGTAGAACAGTAAGGAAATGGCCACAAGCTTAGATCTGGCAGAAGAGAAGCATGAGCAGACCATCACCAACATCACAGATACTAGCAGCAACTCTTCTCCAGCTGCAAGAAAAGGGCCAAGATCCAGTAGTTCCAACCCGGAGATCTAGTCCTAAGAAAAGCCTTCATCACTGCCCGCAAAGAATGCTCAAAAAGATAGATCCCATTTGGGAAGATCCGTACAAGATCAGCAAAGTAAGTGGATAAGCCAGGCTGTCCTGGTATAACTAGGTGCGCAATGGCTTGCGCTGGGATTCCTAGAAGTAGCCACAATGGTCTTTTTCAAAGCTTAGCTAATCAAAGGATTTTGGGTCTTTTGGCCTAATCTGGGGGGAACTGGGCCCTAGAGACGGAGGGGGCACATTACGCAGTACGCCCTACAGACGACTACCCTGGAACCCTAAATCTGCTACCAAGAACACTAAGGTAGCCTACGGTTTCCAGAATACTGCTTACGGTTTACCTTTCATACAGTA